GAGATTTAAGCCTTTGCTAGATTTGATAGGAGTGGGCTTAACTTCCTCTTTAGAGTTCTTGGGTTGGGAAGGTAAAAGTTTAATCTTCTTTCCGTCATGTTCAAATATACGGGTGTTAGATCTCCCATAAATATGGACATCGTTGTCAAATAACCATGAGCGACATAGGATGATTTGACCAACATCCATCGTCAAAACGTCACACCAAATCTTCTCCTTGTATCCCACAAACTCAATGGGATATAGCTCCTATCTTTCACTTCCAAAGCAGTTGAATTGATCCAAGCAACCTTATAAGGGTTCGGGTAGGGAGTCGTTTTCATATTAAATTTGGTAATCATGGTGGAAGAGACAGCATTAATACAGCTTCCACAGTCGATAATGACCTTGAAGTTCTTATTACCAATCTTGGTGAAGGTGTGGAAGATAGAAGTTCTCCGCCAATCATCATTCAACCTAGGTTGGGACAAAGCACACCTAACAACTTACATCTCAACGTGATTCATCTTTTGCAAGAAGTGAATCACAACGGTGTCCTCTTCACAGAAGAAGTCTTTCTCGTCATCAATGTGAAGAACCAATCCAATATCTGGCTCATCCTCATCATCGACAACCTCTTCAATTATGGTGACCTTATATGGGTCGAAGCATTGCGAGGCAATGTGGGCATATCCATGACATTTAAAACACTTGGTTCCAGGGTTAGTTTTCGCACGCTCAGGAGTTTTACCCTTGTAATTAGGGCAGGGTTGGAATGGGCCAATAGTGGGCCGACTAGTTATAGGACCAGGAGGTTTGTTTTGAGGTTGACTAGAAGAAGTTTTGAAAGGAGGTGAATGGGAGTCTAGGTTTCTAGAATGGGACTGATTCATGGACTCTTCAAGGTTGAGCACAAGACTACAAGCAGCTTCCAGAGTAGTAACTCCTCTTACGAAGAGTTCATTACAAAGGTCTTCCCTAGGCCAGCTCTAAACATCGATAGAATTTGGGTAGGCGTAGTAGTCTCTTTGCCGCTACACTGAATCATGTAATCGTCAAAGGTAGAAATGTAATCTTTCACGGATTTATTACCCTGAGTCAGTCTATTCCACCTATCTAAGAGTCTGGGGTAATAGGAGGGGGGAGATATTTTTGTTTGGGCTCTTGCTTCATAGCTCTCTAGTCAGTGATGGGATATTCCCCTCGAGCTTCGTGCATGTTTTCAAGGTTCGACTAATATTGACTAGCTCTTCCAGTAAGCTTCATTTCAGCGAACCTAACCTTCCTAGCTTATGATATATCATACCACTTAAAATAGCTATCCATCTCTTTTAAGCCAATCCAGAAAAACTTGTGGGTCGAGAGCGCCATCATAGAAATGGGCATCTATTCGGATGTTCTTGAGTAATTGTACATCATTATCTCGCCAATTGGGGTCATGACATACAGGTTCGCAATTGGGCCTATGTTTATTATGACGGTAGGGATCTCTTGGTGGTCCTTCATGAGCGTGCCTCTTTAACGTAGGGGGAAGGAGGCCTAGAAGGGGGTGTACATCGTGTGGTTCCCTAGTCTTTCAATGTTGTCTAAACGCTTTCCAGCTTGGCGGCGAAAATTAGCTAACTCACCTTGGGTATCTCTCATTTGTTGGGTCACAGTTCATAACTGACCTACAATAAAGTCTAAGGTAAATTGAATTTGTTCGGGGTCCATTGACTCAAGTTGGGTAACTAATGCAAACACAACAATAATGTAAAGATGTATGGAAGGGTGGATGCAACTATGATGTCTACTAAATGCAAGTGGGGAATCCTAGAATGCAACTACAACACAACCATGCTCTGATACCAAGATGATGTGAAACAATGTAACAGTTATAAGAATTGCAAGGAAATTTATAAAAATTTTGATAAGCCTTGTAATTACAACTTATTGTTTCACCAGATTAGATTCTAGGAATCTTTAGTTATCATATTTTCTTTGGCATGCAATTATAAAGTATATTAGAAGGAACTTAAAAAAGCATCAAAAAAATAATGTTAAAGCTTAATGTGCAACTAACATAAATCCACCAGTTAACAATTAGAGTGATCACCATTAGTTTCCCTCACTCACACTCTTGAGGGCTTTTAGCGGAATAATAACTTCAACAATATTAATGACGTCACCATAAGATAGAAGACGCTTACAATATCGCCCAATAAAAATTTATCCATAGAGGAAGAAATTAATTTCAGATTTTAATGTTGGGAAGGTGAAAATAATTTGAATTTGAATCTCCTCTAATTGTAGATAGGTTGAGGCGGCACACCTTAATGGGTGGGGGAAAATGATTAAGAGCATTAGTGGGAAGGAATTAATTAAGAGAGAGAGAGGGAGGGGGGCTTGCCAAAGGAGGGGAGGGAAAGATGTCCACATACAATGTATGTGGCCACATGAATTGAATGATGAACTGGGAATTAATCTAATTTAATTTCAAATTTTGTAGTAATTAGGGGATCTTCCTAAAATATGTCTATATTAATTAGGAAAGGTTTCGAAATTCAAATTCATTTGAAGTTGAATTAAAAGACCTAAATTAATAATGTTCTAAATTAAGAAAGCATTAAAGGGATAATTGAAATCGGAATCAAGGGGATTGCGGTTTTGGATTGGCTGGCGGCTGGGGTTGGGCTAGGGGAGCCAACGACTATGGAGGGGGGCGGGCTTGGGGGTTTAAGTGGAGTAGGGCTGGCGAGTGGGTCTAGGGCCAGTGCTTTGGGTAGGGGAAAGGGGTGGTCGACGGTGTGGGAGGGGGAGGAGGGGGTGGCCAGCTGTTTAGGTGGAGATGGGGAAGAGGCTGGTGGCTTGGTGAGAAGAAAAAGAGGGAGGAAAGGTAGGGGAGGGGAAACCGAGAGCCTGGACACTTCCTGCGGCTGGTGGAAGTTGCTTTTGCCCTCACCTATGAACTTCTCCTCTCTCTAGAGCTCTAAACACTCAAGGGAACTAGAATACATAAATTTTCATTAATCATCATAAAAAAACTCATAAAATAGTAAGGCACTCATATATAGGCCTCAAACAATAAAAGACGCAAAGACTAAAATGCCCTTTGGGCTACAACACAAACTAATCTCTCACAGGGGTATAATGGTAAAGACTAAACATTACAACAACAACAACAACATCAAGCCTTTATCCCACTACGTGGGGTCGGCTACATGAATCCTTTTTCTCCATTGTGTCCTATTAAAAGCCAAAATAAAATGCATCATAAATAAAGACTCTGAATCGTAGCCGTCGATCTACTATTCCTCCAATGATAGACGCGTTGGAATCTCCTGCTGATGTCCTCATCAATAGGTCCTTAAAACCAACTGGTAGACACAAATAACCATCTTGGGTGACGACGACCTTGCCTTCAGCAATTAATGAGCCGCAAACTAGCCCTTTGGGTTCACCTACCACAAACAACATTACAATGGCCTCCAAGTCATCACATGTTTGTTATTGTGCAGTTTGTTCAAGAAGATTCAAATATCTCAAAGCTATTGAAACACTAATACCCCAATATTTGGTGAGCTTTTTGATATAGTTGCTCCTCATAGGGACAAGAGTTAATGCATATAAAAATGGTGGAATATTATCATCCATTTACATTAGGTTTGTTCAAGAGGCAACAAACTTTATTAAACTTGTTCCCACAAATCTAACCGTAAAAATTTTGATCACTCACAACCAAGAAAGACATAAGTTGTCTGTTAAAATGTGATATAATCAAATTGCCAATTCGATACATAAGAAACAATAAATATTGGTCGTCATCATGCCCCGTCCCAGGTTATTCTAAATCCATGCAAGTTGTCTAGGCAAACCCAATGGTTGTATTATTCAATCTTAATTTGATCATGAAAATCCAGGATCTCTTTAGATTGTTAATGAAACTGGCAAAAAATATTCTAAATGAAAATTGGAAAACCCGTCATAAAGACTATGAATAGAGTGCTTTTTTAGCTCATTTTGCATGTTAATCTCAATGATGGAAAAGGTTCTAGAGAATTTCACTTCAATTACATTAGTACACCATCGATAGTCATCTTTATTCATCATAATAATGATGTTGGATGCATCATATATGGTGAAAATATCATGTGATTGGTTTCCTTCTGAATATTTGTTGGCAATCAAAATTCAAGTACATAGTGCACCAAAATTTATGCCAACGCTACCCATATATGCAATAGTCATACTATCCAATTATATCATCGACCCCATATCATACGCTTCTACTGCATGTACAACCAACATATGTGAGAAACTATCTTGGTGCCCTTGACATTTCCTTTTTTGGTCACAGAAGGGGCATCTTTTCTAATTTTCTCTTATTGTTTAATGGTGAACTATCTTTGTACAAATTTTCTCCCAAACAATGAAAAAGGTTTAACTAGCAAGACCCTTTGATCTTTTTCCCTTCAAGGATTTGTCAAACAAAAATACTTGTCTCTTCTACCATGTGTTTCTAGAGATGTAAGTTATGACAAAGGATATCTTAAAATTCTACCAGATTGTAGAAGCCTATCTAGCATGCAACAACAAGCACACACGCCCACACAGAAACATAAGCTATATAAGCACGCACACCTACAGGCAAATATCAAGCTAACCTAATGAATACAAAAACAATCACCCCCATATGGAGACAGACTTGTATGCCAAAACCCATATGCATGTACATGTGTACATTATCATCCATTTTCAACATTAGCTCTCGTAAACACCAAACCACAAAATTTGTCAAATTTCACAAAAAGATTATGCTATAAATATATTTTAAATCATTGATATATTTGTCTTTACCTAAGAGTAAACTAGGTACCAAACAAATTCCCATTACCACTACCACTATCACCTTATAGTTAAAAAAAAAAAACATGAAGGAAAAATAGTAGGTTGAAACATGAACTAACATAGAAATGAGCAAATCTTCAAGTTTATAAGCCCATGATACACAAAATTAGCAAATATTCAACAAAAAGACATACCACGTAAGTAGTCAATGTTTCATAGCTTGACAACCAATCCTTCTGAGAGTACTTTGGAACAATTGTTAAAAGAGTGACCAAATGTTCAGATGTGATGATGTCCTCCGGTTTTACTATATTGGAAAGATCCCGAACAGCCAAGCTGAGAGTAATGCAGTACAGTGTTAGATTAAAAAAAAGGAACAAAAGAGAATAAAATAAAATTCGTCATAAAATATACTTGGACAAAGCAAGAGACTTCAAATACAAAAAAGCTAATGCATGAATATTTAAAAGCTAATCAATAAATTCCATAATACCTTCCAGTTTGCTTTCTATTTATCGCATTAAGTTGCCCACGCACAGTATTATATTCTGCAGCTCGAATCTGTAGGGAAAAATGAAATTTTCAGTGACATGAAAGCTGGTTTATACATAATAACAACAACAACATCAAGCCTTTATCCCACTATGTGGGGTTGTGGGGTTGGCTATATGAATCTTTTTTCTCCATTGTGTCTGTTAAGAATCAAATTCTCATTTAAGTCTAATAAAAAAAAGGTCATTTCTACTATTTTCAAACCAAGTCATTTTATGTCTACCTCTACCTTTCTTAACATACGCTAAATATAATACATCTACTCTCCTAACCGAGTGATCGGAGGGCCTCCGTTTTATATAACCAAACCATCTAAGGTGACTCTCTCTAATTTTATCTTCAACTGGAGCTACTCCAACATTTTCACGTATATGCTCATTTCGTATCTCGTCTATAAGAGTAAAGCCACTCATCCACCTGAGCATCCTCATCTCTGTAACACTTAACTTAATATTAAGCTTATCTTTTAATGGCCAACATTCTGCACCATAAAACATTGCAAGTCTCACCACCACCTAATAGAATTTTCCCTTAAGTTTGAGGGAGGACTTTTCTAACACACAACAAGCCCAATGCATTCCTCCACTTCAACCATCCAACTTGAATTCTACTAATAATATCCCCATCTATTTCAGCATCACTCTGAACAATAGACCTAAGATATCTAAAACGTGTACTCTTATTAATGACTTCATCGCCCAAAGTCACAATCCCCACACTTGATCTATTACTATCAAAATTACACTCTATATATTCAGTTTTAGATCTACTCAAATGAAAACCTTTACACTCTAGGGTTGACCACCATAATTCAAGTTTGGCTTCAACTCCCTCTCTAGTCTTATCAGCAAGAACAATATCATCGGCAAAAAGCATACACAAAGGTATAATCTCTTGCAAATGTCTAGTGAGAACATCCATGACTAAAGCAAAAAAGATATGGGCTTAAGGTTAATCCTTGATGTAATCCAACAGAAATAGGAAAATACTTAGTCAAACCACCTTGTGTTGGAACAAAAGTAATCGCTCTTGCATACAAATCCTTAATGACTTGAATATAAGCATTATTAACCACTTTCTTTTCTAAAACTCTCTATAGCACTTCTCTTGGAACTTTATCTTCTAATAAAAGCACTTTTTGATCTTCATCCTTAATGCACTTCACTTAAACTAAATCGTTACTACTCCTACATCTTTATTTGGCTAACTTATACATATATCTTTCACCCTGCTAAGTATCTAATCTATTATATAAATCATTAAAAGTTAAAATCTTTGCTTCGCATATTGCTTTCTTAAACTCCTTACGGGCTTCTTTATATTTTCCCTTTATCAAAGTTGTTATATCTAAATTAATTTTTATAACAAAGTTGTTTATACATAAAGCAAACAAAAATGTAGAAACATAAGCCTGGATAAAAGTGTATGGATTTGTCACAATTCATATTTCTTTAGATTATAAGCCCAAACATATTAAAGCACTAATTCCCCATAAAAATATATTATGATGGCCCACAAAAGAAAGTTTGAACAACATGCATCCAAAGTTTGTCTTACTTTTAATAATGCTCTCCTTATATATTAAGCTGTTAATTTGTCTTCAATAAATTTGTCAAACAAACAATAAAAAAAGAATGGGCCTATTACCTTGACAGGTAAATACAAATGAACCTTGGAGAATTTAGATATAAAAATACATTAGAGATAAGAAAATAAGAAAAAGGATCAGTTGCACCTCTCACAAGCATCATAAACAAGTAGTTCAATCAATTACTTAAATAATTTCATTTCATTTTGTTTGAACGAAAAAAAAAAAAAATTGTGTTTGTAAATAGTAAGTTGACGTATCCAGACTACGTTAATCAATATTGACTTCAAAATGTGAATATTGAATTATTTTTAAGCTATCATTGACAAAGTATTCAGTTGAAAACCAGTGACATTCAAACTATGTTTGCCACAACACATGATATAAAGTAGTGAAAGAAAGGAACGTGGCTTCCTTAAAGGTTATTCACTCAACATCAAGTTAATTTAGTTGATTGGGTGATGTCTACTACCATGTATGAAAATGCAGATATAATTTCAAAGATCTGCAAATTGTACATTTCATGTAATCATTAGATAAAGAAAAAAAAGTGACCAGTCTACTCTCATTATCCTCAAATGCTTTTGAAGGATCATTAAAGGTTGGAAAAAAACGTTAGTTAGTGAGCTTAAATAATTAAAACAATGACCTAAATGATTAAGGTAAATCAATTAATTATCTAGATTAACATCAAAATTTGCAAATATCTACTAATTTCCTAATACCTCAAGCAAAAAAAAATGTCCTGATTTGAAGAAATTAAAATTATATGTAGTTAATAAAAAGGTCACGGAACAACTAGCCAAAAAATGCTATGCGGCTCGATTTAGACACACTAAGGCAACATAAGTTGAACCAAGCTGTTCATACCCATGAGAAGGATAAGATTGCATCACAACTTCTCCACATGCTACCTCCATAATACTAATATGTTCCTAGTCAATTCAATGACATTCCGCATGACTCAATGATGCTCCAGATTGCTTGATGCGCAAATATTTCTGATGTGGCAAAGGGTTAGCACTCTCGAAAGGCTTAAATGTACTAAGAGATCTTCTAAAAAAAGTTAAGAAAACTATGTAAGCTTTGTTGAGTTTGAAAAATATGTAGGATCAAGGAATTGGACAATATAATGGTCTGCCATGTATGGGTGGAGTCCAAAACTTAGAAAACTCCAATTAAGTATGAGGTTTTATATTGGCGAAAATAAGAACTCTCCACATGAAATAGTTAGAATAGAGTGTCAAAATAGTTCTGGAGTTTTTCATAATTTCTAGGACTTCTAAGAGGTTTTATCGCAAGCTTGAACAAGACTAGGTGTACTCCAAACCCTTCTTGTCCGAAAAGCCTAGAAAGGTATGGGGACTCAAGTAGAAGAGATTAGGGGTGGAAATAAGGTCTAGAAACACTTGTGGACGAAAGAAAATAGTTTCTAGTTTAATTCTAGAGTGTTTCACAAATTTTAAGGACTTTAAATTTTTCAAAAAGAAGCTAGAAAAAAAATAGGTCATGTTTATCCCTACGTTGCAGATGCCTTCTAAAGGGCACTGGGTTAGGGTTTTGTGTGAATTTTGTGATAGTAAGGACTAAGGAATGATAAAGAGTAAGGAATACAACAACAATTAAAAATTAAGCTAAAATGCAAGGCTAAAGGAATCATCCAATTCCTCCAAGGGGTGAGGTTGACCACCAACATCTTTCTTCTTGGAATAAAATCAACTAAATTTTACAATAACATATCAATCTTCTCATTTCATTACAGCATTACTTGTGCTTCTTACATTAAATTAATTTTTAAATCAAACAAAAAGGAAAAAGGAGAAGAGCCAGCTACTATAGTGAGTAGGATAGAAAGGAGGGCTAAACACCCCTTCACAAGTGTTTAGCAGGCGATCCAAAAGGAAAATGCCCATTTTCTATTTATTCTTATGCAAATAAACATTTTTCAAATGATTTTTAAATTTAACTCCTCAATTTTTGAAAATCTAAACTTCAAACTTTTTAAAATTTTGAAATTTCATGGTTCAATTTCTAAATTTGAACCTCAAATTTACATATAGCCACAATATGAAAATAAATACATAGTTTTTCCACAACAAAATACACAACAATTAAAAATGCAACTTAAACATAAGATTCGTCATTTTACTCATGGTCATGTGCCCTTATTCCCTCCTGGTCATGGGTTCTTATGGTTGATCTTTTTTTTTTCTCCATTGGCTTCTTATACCATATAAATTCCCTTAGACTCGAAGAGCTTTTCTCTGACAGGTCAATATAGCTATCCACAACCTCTGGTACAAACTTCTCAAGATAATCTCTAGTAAATCAAGAACCCTCTATTAATGGTTTGTCTTTTCATCTCATAAAATATCTATAATATCCATTCTTACTAGTTGGCATCTCATGAATGATAATATGGTCCACCTCAAAGAAGCAAAATTGGCTGGCCATTTGCAAATAATAATTTTGTCCTCTTATAAAAGAATCATCCTACACGTTCGGAGGGTTGCTAATTTGCTTATATGATATCAAATCCTTTACCAAAAAACAGGACCAATAAAAACATGTATTTTGACAATTCAAAAACATATGCTTTTCAATCAAATTTTCTAATAATTTCAAATAACTCATGTGCCCTAGCTTATAGTTTTGTAATTTTTATTGATGTATATCTTTCATGTTAGATTCAAATCAAAAATGCTCCCCAATATTTTTTTCTTTGAAAGTTTTTTTTCTGGAATGAGTTTATTTTATCTTAGTCAATTTTAATTATTTTTTAACATTATCATGAAGACACTAAAAATTTATGCAAAAGTGAATCTTTAGTCAAAAAATGCATGTGAAAGTATGCGAGCAAGATAAATTGGCTTCTTTAAATTATATTCAAACTATTCCTAATGAGATTTTCTTTGTAGTTGTTGAAATAGTGCTATTGTATGCAAAGTCGAGTATAAGAATGTGTATGTACAATTTCTTAATCTTTTATGCACAAAGTATTTAAGAGATTTCCCAATATTATGTTTACTACATCAATCTGCCAACCAATCTAAGATTGAAATGTTGAAGAGGACTTTAATATAGTGCCTATTAACTTCCACAATATTTTTCAAAAATATGATACAAATTTAACAACTCCATCAGAAACATTTGTAGAAGAGAATCCATGAAGCCCAACAATCTCCTTGAAGAACAACCTATTCTATATGTAACACATTGAATTTTGAGTGAAGTAATAAGTGAGATATTTTGCACTAATGATCTAAAACAATAAATATGCCATCATGTCTCCTAGAGGTTCTAGTAAGGCCACATACAAAGTCTAAAAAATATTCTCCCATGGCCTAAAGGGAATAAGCAAAGCAAAAAAATTCTTTTTGCTTGCCTATATGTATAGCATTGAGTGACTAACCTCTCAAAATCTCTCTTTAGAGAGAGCTAGAAAAAACACATCATAATAGGTGCATGGTTCTAAACTTTTGCACCCCCATGATGTAACACCATTATAAGGAACTATATAATGGATGTCCTAGAAATAAATAAATATCCCCCCCCCCTCAATCACCACATAAGAGCTATCGAATGATATGTTTTTCTAGGCATGTTCTAAGTATATCAAATAAAAATATGGACAAATTTAATAATCATTATTTAGCCTTTTAAACCCTAGAATATGAAATTCAAAGGATGGGATAATCAATAAAACTTTAGAGAGGGAATCTGCAAGTATCTTTTCTACCCAAGATTTATGTTTAAGCGCAAAGATAAAACATCGATGATATTCTACCCATTTGGCACATCTGTAATTCAACTTCCTCTAAGAAATATTCTCATTTGATTTCATTATAAATTATTACCTTAAAATTTTACCATGTAGACCTATAAAAACAATTATAAAAGGGCAACTCAACTCAATCACTAATCTCACTCGCACCATCACTCTCCTTGTCAGTGACCATCACTCTCCTTGTCATCCAAGGTCGAATCAAAAAGGAGTGTTGGATCCCCAAACATTGGGTCAAGCTTGCATGGAAATGAGCTTTGTCAAGCTAAGGATGACTTGGTACTTGGTGGATATGAAGAAGGCGGTGTAATTGTCCTCAATCGCCATGACCTTTTTCGACAACCTAGCAACTTCAGCCTATGCAAGCTCTTTCGTTTGTTGTGCGGCTTCCTTCAAGGCCAAAACCTTCTCCAACTTCACTTGTGGGCTTCCTCCTCGACGAACCTGGCCCGTAGTCTGTCACTCATCTTCAGTGGAAAATTGTGCTAACTTTCCACATATAGCTTTATACTGAGGAGTAAGCCTTCTTCAAGGGCTCCACCTTTGCCATTGCTCGTCGTTGGCTGCAAGCAAGTGCGAAGGTGGTTTGACGAGCATTCTCATAAAACTCATCATCTTGAAGCCAAGCTTGTTCTAGGTGATTATCTTTACTACAACTCGGTATTTTTTTGTACAACTCGGTATTGCTCTGTATAGATCGGTATAACTCGGTATTGGGTCTTCACATGATGGTATTCCTCGTTATTACCAAATAATATCTAGCAATACCGAGCAAATACCAAGTTTTTTTTGCGGGATTTTAGTGCCGACCGGACGTTCCTCTACGTACATTCACCGGACCAAATAAAAGTTCGTGAATATGACCTACCTTAGAAATTGAAGAATAAAGTCCTCGACCACCATAGCTCTTTGGTTTGCATAACACATTCCATGCCACATAGTGAATCCCAAATTTACCATCCTTCTTATGCCAAATAAAACTTCTATAAGTTTTATCAATTTCATAAAGAACTCCCGAGGGAACAAGTGAAGGGGAAGCTGAAAAAATTGGAATAGATAGCAATACCAATTTTACAAGCACCATACGTCCTTCCAACGAAATGAACTTGTTAGTCCAAACATTAAGCTTTGATAACACCTTCTCAAGCAAGCTCTGAAAATCTGCCGTAACAAGCCTCCTCAAAGCTATTTTGACTCCTAAGTACTTCATCTCCTTAACGGTTTCAAAATTCAAAATCCGGGAAATTGCCTTCTTTCTTCCTAATTCTGACAGCTTTTCCAAACAAAGCAACATATTTTTGCAAATTGATCACTTGTCCCGTCCAATTGCAATAGTTGTAAAGAATGGATTTAATTTTCTTTACATAATTTACCTTAGCTTCAGAAAATATTAGAATATCGTCTGCATATAAAAGATGAAATATTCTAGGAGCAGATGGAGCATTTGATGGACGCATAATCATGGTGAACCCCAAATGAAAATTCAATGGAAACAATATTCAGCAACAAGAAAAGTATAAAGCTGAAATCGTAAAGCAAGACAGAAGAATACACAAACCTTCATGTCATCCTCGATCTTGGCTACCTGACTGTGGATGGTATCAACAATTTCTCGAAGTGGCGATACTGTGGGATATTTGGACTCATCCCAAACGAACCTGTCCTTCCAATAAAATGATGCATTATCACGAAAACGCCCCATATTTTTTTTTAAAGGAAAAAAAAAACAGCTATACCTTTATGCAAGTAGGTAATAAATCCCTGCCAAAAACTCACTTAAATTCGATTACCTCGTGAGATAGGTATCCACGGGAACCCCATCCACTGTAAGAGCCAAGCTGTCAATCCCAGAAGCCCGTTCCAGATCTTCGATTTGCCGCCGTATCTTATGCGACACCCCTTCTATGAAAGTATTCAACTGTGGATCTTCCAATCAGCAACATGCAAAAGCAATATTCCTAGAGGAGAATGCAGTATAATTGAACAAGTACCTTCGAGAGATCGTCGCTCAGAGAAAGAAGAGAATCCAAAGTACCCACCCGTAAGTCGGGAGTGTTGAACTGTAAGAAAAAGAATAAAACTCACCCAGACAAAATCAAACCTGCAAAGTTTAATAAGTTGTTGATGTCATAAAGATCACGGCTTTCGACTTGCTTACCCGGTAGAGAGGCGTGTCGAAAGCTTTCTTGGAGATCAATTCCTGAAGACGGCTCCATAGAGCAGAAGCTGACGATTGGGCGGGTAGGGATACCACCCAATACCTCGTCGCCATTGCAGATTCGACCTCTGATCTGGGAATTAATCAAATCTATCTTCGAACGATTTAACTCCAAAGGATTAACGAGGCGTAATGAGATAAGGCGGATCTAACTCATCTGAAATTTCCCAAACACAGATGCTTGGCTGATGTCGGCCCTGAAAATTTACGAATAATGCTCTCCTACCATTCTTAATCCACTCGATAAATTAACGAGCCCATAGTTGCTTCGTAAATTTTCAGGGCCGTATATATATAATTATTAGAAAATATATATATATATATAATTTTATCATTTATAAAAGTATATACTTTTATAAAATTTTATTCAGACTTACTAAGACCATCTCCAACCGAAAATGTCATTTTTCACTCCAAAATGCAGGAAAATCAAAAAATGTCGTGTTTCATCTCCAATCCAACGCCATTTTGCCGCTAAAACAGTCGTTTTCTTTCACGCCTTTCTTCCCAACATGTTCGGTAGAAAGAAAAAAAAGGCGCAGATGAATAGTGCGACGCCAATATTGACGTCGCACTGTTCATACGCGATCAAATGGTGTCAAAAATGGCTATTGATTGGAGCAAAGCAAGAATGGCAAACAAGTGTTTGTCGTTCGGTTGGAGATGCCCTAATAGAGTGAGAATTAGGGGTTTCAAAACAAGTCGACAGGTCAGGTTCAGGTTGAACCCGAGTCTAAACATGTCAATCCAAACCTGATCTTTTTTTTTTTATAAACGGGCAGGTATTTCAACCCAGGCATGATCCACGTGGGTTTCCAGGTTGACCAAACACGAACTGCGGACCTGTTTGATACTTTGATTAAAAAAATGGTTTGTCTCGTGAACGGACCGACAGAATCGACATATCTTCGGACGTGTCGGAGTAGATGAGGTCTCTTGACCGAACAACGAAGTGCGAACAGATCGTTAGACCGAACGGCGAACGGACCAATGCGGTTAGCACTCGGCTTCTCTTCTGACTCTCTGGACGCGCTAAACAGACCAGATGGCGAAAATTGGTGGACTAACGAGAGTCGCGCGATAGACTGACGCGTGTAACACGATGGACTGACGCGACTTGGTCATGACTTATGCCACGGTGGGGAAAGACGTGACGAACGAACGCATTTCTTTTGATTTCCCGAGTCAAATCGGGTTTATTTTAGGTCTTCAGGTCAACACGATTCATTTTTGCAAACGGGTCAAAGACTCAAACATGAATGCGACCCATATGGTAAACGAGTTGACCCGAACTTGAAATTTTTTGGTTCGGATCATGTCTATTTTTGACACCCCTATAACAGCTTCATCAACTCTTTGGTAGTCGAGTTTTGGATCATGTCAAATTTTGACACCTTTAGTGAGAACCCTTATAACAGCTTCATCAACTCTTTATCTCCTAATCACATTCTTAGTTTATGACTATTACAGAGTGAGTGATGGTCTATATTTGATTATCATATTTGAAATTTAGTTATCTTTTTTATTTCTCTTTTAGGGATGAAAAAAGGCTTCTTATTCTAAATATTAAACCCATTAATTATCTTTTTATTTCTCTTTTAGGAATGAAAAAAGGCTTCGTATTCTAAATACTAAACCCATTAGTCATTAGACTTTAGTTTGCATCTAGTTGTCTTTTTAAAGTCATATTCCAACCATATTTGTCCTTAAAATGATGATTAAATTAGCGTCGAACAATCTTAACATTATTTGAACCATGCTAGAAATTTATTCAAATGTTATTTGATAATTTTTTAAATGATTGGCATAATGTATGTAATCCACAATTTAACGATATTCAAATAAACGTCGATGTATAATATTATCGCCTTATTCAAGCACTTTTTTTGAACCTATCTTCGATCATGCATCCGTTGACCTCTAAATGGCCAAAGAAAAAAATTAAAAAAAAAATTACTTGCATACCTCTTCGACATCGTTTGCACGTCATTCTCCAGATGAAATCCTGTGATACATGTTATTCGGACGTCCTACACCATCCTTTGCACGTCGATGAAGCTCTCGCACGTCCTCCGCACAATTTCCATCCAGCTCGCATTAATAGGGGATATGGGCGAGGTTGCATTCGTTCGCCTCGTCTTCTCCCAAAAGCCACTCGCACACAACCTCCTCTGTTCACAAAATCTCGTCGATCATCCGACTCCACTACCTACTCGACCTCTGCTCCAGACCGATCTCCCACAACAAGAGCTGCACCCTATTGTTGTGATTTCCCTCCTGCTCAGATCCACACAGCCTCTCAATACCCTCGACCTCCACAGCAACCAAATAGACCCAACCTCACTCTCAACTAACACCTCTTCCCCGTACCGCAAGCTGTTGAATCTAACAACCTTCTGATTCCTCAAACCCTCATAACTTCAGGCCGATCTCTACCCATACCTGAGATGATCTTCATTTGACGCTTCAACCCCTACGATCAAACCCAACATCTCCACCTCCTTCGATGATATTCCTTACTGCTGAATAGGAAATAGTGATGGGAGCTTGCTTATTACGAAGGTAGCCATCTTTTTTCCTTTCACACGCTTCTTCCATAAAATCCCTAGGCAAACGAGGGAAACAAAGGATTTAACTTACTGTTTGATAGAATTTAGCTTAAATCATGCTCAAATTCATCCTAAATCTTGTTGTCAAACCTCATGCATCACCCATATCCTCTATTAAATTTAATTAATCATAATTAATTAACTTTAATTAATTATCTTGTAATGTCTCGAGCCTCATGTAATCACGACATCGACCTCAACATAGTCTTCAACGTAGACAGCACTATCGTCATGCCCCGACATAATTGACACAGCCGTTGACATCGTTGTCAATCATTATGCAAGGTATAAAGGTTCAAACCCTATCCTCAATGGATGCAGCGTGGTGAGCAACAACATATGAGCGCTTTTCTTAGCGTAGTAGGAGAAAGCTCGCTGAGGTGCTTGCGACGAGGTAGGTAATCCTCATATATGCTTTTCTTAGCATAACTAAGCAAATTTTAAGTACCCATATACGCATAAGTGCCTACAAGGAAACAACTGTGCTTTTTCAAATAGGTACCCCTTAAGACCTATACACACCATTCTTAGCATGGTGGGATTAAATAATATGATCGTGGTGTCATACAGCCTTTCTTAACATGGAGGGAGGCTATGACTCCCCAAAATTTGCCAAAATGGGTGATATGCCGCGATTCTACCAAAATTCTAAGTGACAGAGGACCTATATTTGAACATAAATGCACATAACTTAAATAAAGAGCAAGTGACTTGTGTAAACAAATAGGGGATCAAACTTGAACTAAACTACAAAAGGTTGAACATTGAACTCTAAAATGCATAATTAATTTAAAAATGCAAATCCTAAAATTTAGTTCAAGCCATTCTACTATAAACGAACAAGTAGGAAACTCATGATGAATAATATCCCAAATACACATAGGCGTTCAATCGACTTGCAGTACTCAAATAAATTGCAAGCAAATGTGCGTAGTGCAATATGTAACAAATGCAACAATGACCTCCAAGCATATTCAACTATGCAAATAACAGTGACTAAGCATGCAAGAGATGTTTGAAGGCTTTGAAGCAAGTATAATTTGCATACAACTTTCCATTATTAAACAAACACACACTAAAGTCGCATGTTCATGGCGAGGGTGGATATGATGCAAGTACATGCAGCTTGCAATAAACACTTAGGGTGTCCATGCATTTGACAACAATAGTACCCCTGTATGTACATTTAACCACGTAAGCATTAATGAGCAATCATGCTGTGAATTGCCTACCAAGAGAAGGTCGAAGATCTTGAAGAAAATGTAATGTAATCATTGTTGCCTAATAACAAAGAGCACGTGGTGGCCAATTTACAGGCAATTGCATGAGACAATGACACAGTGAGTTACTCACAATCATATATGAAGAATGCAACCTAATTAGAAATGAAGTGAAGAAGGCTATGGTGAAAGTAGTCAACCTGTAATCAATAGTCGCTAACTGACAAGTGAATACACTAGTCCTCTTATGAATGACGATGGAGGACAAGCATTGGATGTAATAATCTCCCATCAATCAAGGTCAATTTGCTTACATATGTACGTGATAGTATCTTATGAACACAAAGCCAAAATGCATGAGAAAGTTAGCAATAAATATAATTTAGTCTGCTTCAACATTAAATAAGTTGAAGGCACTGGTTTGAGTGCAAGCAAAGATAGTTGATATGACCTACGTGTGGATAAAAAAGGAGAATATATCACAAGTACGGTGAACCCCTGTGGACACAAATATATACACCATTGCAAATAAATGTAGAAGACCCATCATGCTACAGTAGTCCACCTATAGGTGACGACAAACAACTGCAGGCATGTCACTCAATATTGCAAGTGTATTTCAAAGTGATCTCTTGCATGCATTTGTAGGATGCCAAGGATTTCATTCAAGCGTGCCTTTTAACATTGCAATTACATGCCAAAGTATCCTCCTGCCTGTATTTGCAATATGCAGAAGGTTTCACTCTAGTGTCTCATTTCACACTATAATTACATTTCAAAAATGGTATTATGTATACACATGAAAGCATCATGCAAAATACATGTAACAATATATACCCACATAAGCCCTGGTGAGCTTGTTATGGGTATACATGTGATATTTGAGGTTGCTACACGGGTTAAATGATAAACCCAAGTTTGAGCTCGATCCTACTATGCAAGTAGATAAGAGTCGACACGGCTTAAACTATCAAAAAAAATATATGGTTGCGTTGACCTAGATATTTTATTTTAAAAAATTCACTAATAAAGTCATAAAGCAATGACTGACTCTATCCTCTGTTGAGAAGATAATATAATCAATAAGGTTTAACTGATAAAATAAAAATCGCTCATTAATATCCTAATGATGATCGTGTTGAATGTAAATCTCAATCGGATGAGTTAATTCTCAAAAATTTACCAAAAGCACCATGCCTACATCAAACTCATTCCTTCATCGGAAAATAAGACAGAGTTAATAAGGTTCAACTAATAAAATAAAATTTTTCATACACCCTGAAGATGACCGTATTGACTGAAAATCTCAACTAGAGGGAACCCAAAATATTTAAAAATTCCTCCCAAACTCCCAAATGCTTGTAAAAATTATAACAAAATTTCAAAAATATATAATCTAAATAATTTGAAATAAACCATCAAATACT